GCAATTTTTCTTCTTCTGACATGCTTATTACGTCAGGTGTTCTAGTAAGAACATACTGACAGATACATGATGACAACTGTTTAGTCTCACACTTTGAGTTCTAACTTCATAATTTTCATCTGGATTCATGAAGCCCTTGAGAAATACATACATTGATTGCTAGATAGCACAAGTTGTTTCCAAGAGTATTGTAGGCTCTTACATTTCAAACCAGCAACCTTTTGGCTATTTATAGATTAGTTTGTAAGCACCACTATAGGATAGGAAGAATGGACAACTGAGTACAGTTTACCTTCGATCTTCATTTAGCTTGATAGCTCTAGCTTGAGCTATAGTTATCACCTCACCCATCTGCACTCTTCCTTTGGGAGAAGGGGGATGTTCTGCCTGCAGAGCTTTTATTGTACTGACAAAACTTTCCAGCTGCAATCAGGCCCAAGCTCAAACCCCAGTGGTTGTTATCACACATCACCCTTCACCCCTTATTTAACAACTGACTCTTAATTTCTTTGAGAAGGCTGAGCAGTGCTCAGCTCTCTGCCTGCCCTTTGCAGCTACCTAGCTCATGCCACTGCTGCTTTCTCCCATCAAGAGATTAATCAGAGTCAAGTCTTATATTTCACAAAGCTCTATCCAAGCACATACACAGAGAATATTTTTGCTGGTCACTAAGGATACAACTTCAGACAGCTTTCATCCAGCAGGACTTCCCAAACTGAGTTGGGGAGAATTCAATAAAATCAGCTAATCGATTAGTATTGTTTTATTTCATTGTTATTCCCATTATTTCTGCTCCATGTTTTGATAACTACCCAAATTATTGACACACCTCAACATTCCAATTTCGTAAATAACCAGCATACACCAATGTACACAGGGTTAATTTCACAATACTGACAAGTTTCCTTCCAATTTTAAACCAGGAAAACTGACAAAAGATATGAAAATCTTTAGCACATCTTATCAGAAATATACACATGTACAGTATATTTACACAGGCATCTAGATAAATACTAAAATAGCCTCCAAAACTGTATATACGTTATTCACTAAATGACACAGTGATTCATCTTTTCCCTTGACTTCTGCGATCGTTTTCCATGTCCTGCTCCTTGCTGTTTTGAAAATTGTCTTGGTGATGATGGAAAAAAAAGGATTGTGTCTAAGGGGAGGAAACTGGAGGATGGGGTGAAACAGAGGGAGCTGCATCTGGAGGAGAAACGGAGCAAAGAGCATGGCCAGGCAGTCTAAGGCCACCAAGAACTGTCAAACCCATCCTGCCTCTCAGGTGGGATACCAGCAATAGCTCAGAACAGGATTTGGAAGGGCCTTGAGGGGATGCTGTGTGAAGATCAGCTGAGGTCACTTGGTCTGTTCAGCCTGGAGGAGAGGAGACTGAGGGGAGACGTCATTGCAGTAACAACTTCCTTGTGAGGGGCAGGGGAGGGACAGACACTGATCTCTTCTGTGTGGTGCCCAGTGACAGGACCCAAGGGAATGGCCTGAAGTTGTACCACAGAAGTTTAAGTTGGATATTAGAAAAAGGTTCTTCATCTAGAGGGTGCTTGGACACTGGAATAGGCTCTTCAGGGACATGGTCACAGCAGTAAGCCTGACAGAGTTCAAGAGGAATTCTGACAATGCTTTCAGGCACATAGTGACTCTTGGTGCTGTCCTGTGTGGGGCAAAGAGTTTGACTTCATGATCCTTGTGGGTCCCTTCCAACCTAGCATATTCTGCGATTGTGCAGCAGAAAATAACAGCTCCTGAGAAGCCTTGAGCAGAGCTTTGCCTGGACATGATTCACTAAGCAGCATCTGACAAAGTAAGGTGCGCTCCACTCCAGGCCTCCTCAGCAACTGCCCTGCACTTGTCTTGCCTGCCCAAAGGCTCCCTTACAGAGATTCCCAGGTCCATCACAGAGGTGTCATGGAAATCCCATGTAGAACAAAGACCCCAACCTCAATCAGAGTCTGGCATCTCAGCATTCTCCTGGAAGATCAGTATAGTCACAGTACTTGACTAAAGTACACACTGCTTGACTAAAAGGTCTTCACACATTTCCCACAGATAGTGACTCCCTCGTAGCACAGACAGTGCTTTCTCTGCCTTCTGCAGCTATTTTCTCTTCCAGCCAAGAGTTCAAAGGAGGCAAGATGAGACCTGTGCAGGGTATTTAAAGTGCTGTAAATGTGGTTTAGTAACAAATCAGCCAAGGTGCTGTGTGGGTTGTGCACATGGTACATGGCCCCATGGGATCCCAACCACTTTTAAGAGAGGGATCAGGAGACAGGCAGCTAAAACACTATTTTTTCATCTTATTTCCAGCCCAGGTTTGACTCCAATAACTTAGAAGGCTGGATCAAGATAGAATAATCTTCATTCAAGGTCAGGCTGAACAGGGCTCAAAGCAACCTCAGCTTGTTGAAGATGTTCCTGCTCATTGCAGGGGGAGTTGATCAAGATGACCTTTAAAGGTCCCTTCCTATCAAAACTATTATATGATCTAGATATGAGATAAACATTAGACCCTGAACTGTAAATATGAACTTGAAATGTAAATATGTGAACCTAGCTTGAAGGCCCCCACACACTTTTTGCTTAAAGCATTATCCAAGCATTATCCCTGTAAAGGAAATCCTAATGATAAGCAATGATTTTATTCCTATTCATTATTATCTTTCATAATTTCCCATTATCTGTTCAAACCATGAGTTTAAAATACTGCAGTAATTGAGCTCAACAGGAAAACTGAAAGAAATTCATCTTATTTGGCACACTACAATTATCTGATATTAAAAGCACTGACTATAAGCTCATTATTTTATGCAATTACTGCCCATTATTCTTAGACAATGAGTCTGCAGTGGTCTGCAATAAATATCAAGACTCAAAAGCAACCCTATTTAAGATTAATTTTATTTCAATTGTTAAGTAAAGGAATCTACTTTATCCAAAATATTTCAATTTTTTCAAAGGAAACTTAAATTCAATTAAGAGCTCCTGTAAAGGCTCATAAAGCCTTGCCCATTTACAATGGGGCCTCTAGTCATGGAAAGTTTCAATCTGAAGTACAGTTATTTCAGCTTGAAATGTAGTTCTTATAAAACTCGAGCACAGTTTCTCCTGTGACATTTTATTTTCTATCACATCCCTTTATTAAGAGGTACTCCACTTGTGTACCTTCATCCTGAACTCTGTCATACATTTTCATCTCCCACAAGCATGGTCTGGTTCATGCAATAACCTATGACTATGAATATCTAGATGCTGAAACAATTTTTTCCTTGTCAGTACATCCAGAAAAACCCATCTCTCTTACACAACTGACATGACAAGACCAGGAACTGTATTAGTCATGTGATTTGACTGACATTTCCCATAGAAAAAAAATAGATATTGTTCACATCTAATCTTTCTTCCTGCAAAGGCAGAGTGTTGCATTGCTGCTTGACCTCTGTCTTGTCAAACGGTGAATCAGAAACCAGTGGCGTTACACCAAAAAAAGTAAAAGGCTCCCAATGTACATTCAGTATCAGGTAAAGAGTCTAAAGCCATATTACATTCAAATTGCTTAGTGACACCACTCTCCCCAAAAGAGATAGGACCCAAGCTCTACACAACACTGCAATACACCCACAGTGCATTTCATCAGTGTCACTGCCATGCCTGCAGCATGGCCTGAGTGATTACTCAAGGTCATCTGGGTACCTGCAGCACAATAAGGGTCGGAACAAGCTGAATTCATGGAGTACACCCAGATCCACAGCATGTCCATGGGAGGTTAACTCCAGAAAACTCAAGCCCAATTACAGCCTTATTGCAAAAGCAGCATTTTCTGGCAATGTTTAGTTCCAAACTTTCCATCCCCCATGGGTTAACTCTGAAAGAGAATAGATGATTTGGGCCTTCTATGCAAAGTGACACAGAGACATTACATTCAATACTGATCACTAGACTATTCCAGATGATTAAATCACATTGACATAAAAGGAATAGATTAATGTCCCAAAAACACTATTTGGTGTTCCATCTGAAGACTCTGAAGCATAATACAAATCAAAGACGTACTGGTATCAAGTAGCTACATTGACTATCTTCAACTGTCATACAAGGGGATGCTTTCAGAGAAAAAAGCCAAATTCACACCATGAATTCAGAAGAGCCCATTTTTCAATAGGTCAGGGGAGCTCTGAGATACTGAAGCAGCTGACCACTTCCTTGAGAAACACTATAGTTAAAATTAACTGCAGATAAACTATTTCCTTTCACATGCTTTCCATTTTATACATGTAAGTATATCAGGGTTGGGATAATTTCAAATTGATAACTAGCATCTAATTAGCATGGACAACACACCAGCTGCTACTCCTAGTATCAGAAAGTCTTATCATGTATTCTGAGGTGACAGGACTATACTTTAAGCCATTTGAAGCAAGCAGAACTATCTTATGTGCCAATATTCTTCTGTGCTGTCTCTACTTGCTTTCAGCAGAAAACCTTGAAGCACAGGACTGCTTCTCAAGTGATCTCTTGAAATAGTCAAGTAGTTTTATAATCACTTTTGCAGCTATTTCTTTAGGGTCAGCTGTCACTATCAAAGTTTGATGACCATGAAGAAATGCTCTTAAGAGAATGGTTGAATCTGTGTTCTGCTCTAACACTACCACTGATCCCATTAATCTGGTAGAGAGTGCCAAAGTCAGACTGGACTTACAGTGAACTGTTTAAGCTGTTCAAACAACAGTAGTGAAAAACCCCAATACCTTGAATGGGAAAGAGAAGTGTTTCTTGAGGGATAATCTGTGCACACTTCAGGAAACATTTAGGACAGTCTGAAACCTTTCAAGAGGTGTGACACTAAAACTAATTTTCTAAAGCAGGTTCTTTCTGCTGGTTCACATGAGTGACAAAATCAGTTTTGCATTTTAGGGGGTGATTCAAACCTTGTAAGAGATGCAGCTCTTACTTTTCAGTGTTTTGCTCCAGAAAATACTTACATTTCCAAGGTCAATAATGAAACAATCTCCTTTGTTGAAGCTGGTCCAAGCCAGAGGGACTTCTGTGGCTCTTACAACTCTCCTGCCCTTGATATGCAGCAGCCTCTGAGCACTCAGATCATTAGTAACAACATGATTAAATCCAGAGGCAATACCACCTGCCTGAATAAAACAAAACAAAGCAGCCAGCTTTATTTCAGCTTGATTTCTGCAGTTACTTTTTTTTTTGCTACATATGAGGAGCTAGCAGTGGAAAAAATGGTTTATGTAGTGAGGTGCAAGCCAAAGTAATGTGCTGTTTAAGGGTGCTGACCACAGACCAGACAGACACCACTGCTGCTGAACACTCAGGCACGAACCTTTAGCCAAGGGAGCCGATGTCACCCTCCTTCTTTACCTTTTCAGATAAACAGAGAACGTGAAAGCACAGTATTCACAGCACTCTCCAGCCTCTTTAAGAGGATGAGGCAATACTGAACCCCATTGTTAGGACAAAAGTCAAGGACTATGGAAAAGCACAGAAATATGCAGCTCCTTTTGCAGTTTTCCAAACTTGAATTTCAGAGGTTCAGGTGTTTTTAATCCCTGGATACATGTAGAAGGATGGATAATTCCACAGCAGCTCCATAATTTTATGGAAGATATAGTTGCAACTTAAGAGTCAACCTGATGAGGAGTACCAAACCAGGGGAAGTGAGAGCAAACTGCTGATTTACAATCTGAGTGTAAATATAAACATAAGCATGTGAACTGGCTTGGATGTCTGCATCTCCACTTCTCTGGGAGACCCAGACCTTGAAACTGGCTCTTAAAATTACAAAAAAATATTAAAATGTAAAGGTTTGTGTGTGTCACTGCCAACCTCGCTCATGAAGAGTTAAAAGCTTGGTTGCGTAGACAGAAGTTACAAACATTGATAATGGGGAGAAAAAGGCTGAATGAGCCTTGGATCCCAGAGTTTCTACCATGGAGATATTTTCAGGAAATACATTACTTTATTCTTAAAAAGAACCTACAGGTGTCGCCAAAAAAAAAAAAAAAGTTACTTTTCAGCTGTTCAGCTTCTAGAAGTGACACAAAGACACTGACACACCTTTCCAAAAGCTGAAATTTTTCAAAAAAATTGGGGAGATTGTTTTATCTACTTCAGAAAAAAACTGCAGTAGGACTGCAAAAGCATCATTTTTAGATTCAAGTGAAGTTCTAGTCTTTCCAAATTTATTCGTGTTTCTAACCACTTAGGTTCTGCATTTGAACAAAAATATTTGATCTGCAAGACAGAAATTATCTCTGTGAGATTTAACACCTCCCAGACACGGAGAGTCCCTACTGTGAGCTCTCTCAGACACACAACTATGAAATTTCAGGACAGCTTTATTTTGGGGAAAAAAAATTGGAAAAGGTTTTCACGTATCAGAAGTGGCACTGACAAACAAGCTGCTGCTTTCTGTACAAACACTGGGACTCTTACACTTTAAGATGAATAGTTCAGATCTAAACTCACAAAGCATTATTAAAATATTTTTTAAATCTCCATTTACAAAGAAAAACATCTGATTTTTATGTAGGGAGAAATGTTACATACAAATTCAGAATGTATTTTGACAGACTCTTTACCTTGTATTTAATTCCTCCTTTGAAGTAACCCACAAACTCAGTAGACTCATATCCTTGAATTTCTCTACTCTGCACAGGCTTTCCTCCTAAATAGTCATCCATTTGAACAGCAAAGATAGCTGCAGCTGTGCTTTCATCCTGGGTGCATTCTTTCCCTGAAATAAGAGGAAATATGTCAATAAAGTATTATTGTAGTTTTGAATTCTGTTGGAGAAATTATTTCTGCAACAATTGGGCACTGCCTTCAACAAGTTGTATAACCCATGTTTATGTGGCAACAAAGCACCGAATCATAACCTTGATCACCACCAAATAACATGATCTTCCAGACCATTTCTTGACTACTTGTAGAACTGCATTCATAAGGAAAAAACAGTAAAAAATACTGAAGTTCATCTTCTCAGAATCTTCGAACAAAAGAATAATTTAATTTGGTTTAGCATGGCAAGTGTCAGCCATAATTTTTGGACTTTGAGATGAAGTTCAAAGAAAGAAAGGTCATGTTAAAGGACTGTCTGGATGGTAAAACATATTTATTCTAAGAACAACTCACCAAGCCATAAAACTAAAATAATTCAAAAGCAGTCCTTTTGACACTATAATGCAAGAAAGATATTTTGCCTGGTACAGCTGGGAGAAAGAAAGGCAGCTTTGGGGCTCAGATATTTGTTTCATGAGGTCACACTTTGTTTTGTACCTCAAGGATTGACCTATTCCCGAGACTGTGGCAAGATAGCCTCTTGACCCAGTGTGCTGATGCCTGTACAAGCTGAAAACAGGCTACAAACAGGTATATTAAACCAAAGATTTTAATCTGTGCCCATATATTTCAGCAGTTTTAACTGTTTTAAGAAAAGCACAAATAGAATCAAGTCTAAAAAAACAGGCTTCTCAGTAACTACAGAAGAAAAAGGAGAGGTGAAATCTTCCATCTGGTTCCAAATTACTCCATGCTATGTTCAATATGCTTTCTCAGACCTAAGGTACCACCTTAGAGTTGGTGGTAAAGTTTTGGAGGTTTTAGGGGTGTTTTGTTTTTTTTCCTAAATGGGGTAATCATATCCATTAAGACTAGATCTTTCTAAATTGTTACTTAAAATTACATAATAGGATTCAGGGTTAAAGCAAAATGGTTTTTGAACTGAGTCAGAGATAAGAACTACTATCAGACTTGGTCTCATAGCTGTTATGCAATAAAATATTCAGTGAAACTCAAAAAAAAAAAAAATCAGGCTAGCATCAGTCTAAGCGCAAGTTACTCAAGCTTGCATGAAAACCAGATATACCTTGCAGTCTGTGGCACAAACAGCTATAAATAAGCCAGACCATAATGGAAAGAGAGCAAGTTTTTACCATACAGATCCTGTTCACATGGACAGATCTTATGACTTCATGTCTGGAGACAAGGGTTAAAAAATAGAAAACACCATGCGTGATTTTATTAAAGATACTAAGTGGGGTATAGCCAATCTCACTCACAACAAGTAGTTTCATACTGGCACAGTGCATGCTGTTTCCATTAATGATTCAAGTTTCAAGTCCAGACAGCTCCCTTAGGATTAGTACAACTCCTAAGGCATCCCTCAAGTGCCAGTAGAGACAACTGAGTCAGGATGTCTGAGCAACATTAGAAGTGGATACAGCTGCAGCAAAACAGATCCACACTGATTGCTTGGCCATGCCAACAATGTTGATACACCCAGGTTAGCTTGCTCAGAAATTATCCAACCTCACCAGCATCTCAGTGTATGTGAGATACTTGGTAAAACAGTGGATTTCCCATAGGAAGCTTCAGCATGGCAGAACAACTGTGGGGTCACTTCACCTGTAAGATGCCAGTCACAGATGAAGACTGTCAGCACACTGAGGTCACAGACCATCATACCATGGTCCAGACCTTCTTTTAACCCCTGGGGTGTGCCTAGAGCAAGGAATTAGGAGAACTAATTTACCACTATGTAATAGGAAAATTTGATGTTGGGGGTCTTTTTTTCTGGGCAGACTCTGTTCACACCCACAGCCACTGTATGCAGCTGCCACAATAACATACCACATATGACAAGCAGGAGTTGGACTGTGTCACCAAATGGCAAGACCCTTGTAAGTACCTAAGACCAAAGTCTGTAGTGTTTCCCCCATCTAAAGAATTCCTTCTTTACATCCCAAAGTTTGAGTGATAGTGACTGATGCAGCTATCCAGAGACACTTCTGAGAAGTCTTCAGAAAGACCCTATTTGTGATCTTCCTGGCTAGCAGGTTATAGAGTCTTTCCTTACAAGGGAAGAGTTTGGTGTACATAACAGCAGTGTGAATCAGTTAAAAAACCAAAATGATTCTGTGGTTCTGAGTGTGACTGGCCCTCTCAATGCACCTTGTTTGAAGTCCTGGTCTCCTCTTGCCATTAAGCACACAGCAGCACTTTAGATTTTTCTTCAGTGCTTCAGATTTTGCTGAAGTATTTTGCAAGCAGGAAGGGATTTGCCAGCAGTGAGCCTCCCTGCTGCCACCTTGCCAGCTGCACAACAGTGGGTGCCCAGAATCACCTGAAGCCATTTAGACTATCTAGATAGCACCAGATCAGCAGAAAATATGCATCAATGTGTACAGCTAAAGCTCTTCAGTCACCAGCAATGAGGTTTTAACTGCTACGTCAGTCACTGTTCTACCTTTCCTTCCCAAGAGCTGCAAACAGTCCTTTCATCAACCCCTGTGATGAGTCTAGCAGACCTTCACTAAGACACGAGTAGTTCCAGCTTCATTAACAAAGGTCTACACAGCCAAACCCTGCTACTAATTAGCAGCACTGCTGACAGAAAAGTCTCTGCCAAAAATTCATTCACACTGCCATCTATGATTATACTCTTACCAAAGCAGACACTACCCTGCTTGCCAGCTGGAAAACTCCGAAGACACGCAAAATTCAACGCTCAAACATTTATGCAGAAACAATCCCAGCTTTATCTGCGACTATTTTTCAATGCATGCAAAAGTACAATGAGAACTGCAGCAACTCAAGCACGTTAACATTAATACACGTATCTTTACGTGCATTCATTCAGATGATTGCCTAAAACACAAACTTGTTGGTGAAACAAGAAAAAAGCAGTAAGTTTCAGGCAGCTAAACAGCAACCACTTGTGGCAGGATGACTCTGTGGCCAGATAGGGAAGTCACATGAAACCACCAGGAGACGAGAAGTCACGTAAAACACAACCCTCTGTCAGGCTTCAATTTTGATGTAAAGTGGGCTAGTCAAGGTGGTAGGCACAAGCCATCAGCCTGGTTCCAATCCCAGGAGGCTGTCAGACTGATATTAGAGGCTGCAAAGAACACTCGGTCTTTGCATGTGATCCCTGTAGCATCAGAAAGCAAAATTAATCTAGCTGGAAAAGGCACACCCAGACACTAACCAGGGCTACAACACCACAGGCAGATGGCCTAGAGAGGACATTTTCATCCAGATGGAGACAAAGGCAAGAAAACTCTTCACGTGAGCAAAGGCAGGATTTCACTCCAGAACCTCTGTCGGGTGCAGCCAAGAACTGACTTTAACACTTCTGTACATTTCCAAGCTAACACCACGAAGTGATCAAGCTCTCCCCTTTCTGCCATACCCCAGTGTCCCACCACTTAGTCCCTCAGCATCGGAAGGGATGACGCCCGGCACCACCCCGATCCTTGGTGGCAGCCCCACTTCTGCCTCCGCCTCGAGTACCCCTCTTGGAAGCCTCTCACCCGCAGCCTTAGGGAGAAGGGCAGGGAAAGCCCTGTCCGCGATGCCCGGGAGCCCGGCCAGCCCTTCAGCAGCAGGGTGGGCACTGCGGGCTGTCCCCGGCCCGCCCGCGGCTCCCGCCCGCTCCTACCGAGCCAGTAGTGCAGGCGGTAGGCGACGCTGGCCCCGCGGCGCTCCGTGCGCAGCACCAGGTACGCGTCCCCGACGAAGAAATCGCCGTGGCGGCTCGGGGGCACCGGCACCAGCTCCAGCCGCTCGACGCGCCACACCTGCAGCCCACTCTGCTGCCCGGCCTCGGCGAACGCCGGCGGGGGCCGCTCGGGGGCCATGGCTGGAGGCGGAGAAGTCGCGGAGTGCCCGCAC